GCATCAGCCATGAGCAAGAGAACTGATGGAGAATATAAGATCCTGAGTTCAAGCCCTGGTTAAAAAAAATGCTAAGCCGGGCGCTGGTGGCTCACGCCTGTAATCCTAGCTACTCAGGAGGCTGAGATCTGAGGATCGCGGTTCAAAGCCAGCCCGGGCAGGAGAGACTGTGAGACTCCTATCTCCAATAAACCATCAGAAAACTGGAAGTGGCGCTGTAGCTCAAGTGGTAGAGCGCTCGCCTTGAGCTGAAGAGCTGAGGGACAGCCCCAGGCCCAGAGTTCAAGCCCCATGACCGACAAAAAAAAAAAATGCTGATGCTCAATATTGACATGAATAATTACATTGCATTGCCTAAGTATGAACAAGAATAAAATTTTGCATAAGTTTATGATTATATAAAAGTAGATTTGCAAGTTACATGCCAACAGAAGTATAACATATAACAATGTATTACCAGAAACATTGAAACAGATATCATTAATGAGATGGAAGACATTGTTTTGTTTTGCTGGAGGTAAATATAAAAATCACTGCAGGCAATATAAAGATGATCAGGGCCACAGCTACACAGCTTCTTTGGGGTTCAATGGGGTTAGGTCATCCTAGCCACATATTGGTCCTCTACCATTTGAATCATACAGGAAGCATTTAATCCCAGTAGTTTATCTGCAGAACATTTATATATTAGAATAACCTATTCTTTTTCAGTCGCTTGATTAAAAGTCTTATATGCATAAAGAAAAAGGGTAGAAGCTGAAATCCTAGGATAATCCTAAACTATTGTTACATTAGTGATTCAGAATATGCATTCATGTAGTATGTGTATATGTGTGTGTGTGTGTGTGTGTGTGTGCTCGCGTGTGTGGGTGCAAGCATGCCAGTACTCATGCTAGAACTCAGAGCCTGGCACTGTCCCTGACCTTTTTGTACTGAAGACTAGTTCTCTATCACTTGTGACACAGTCTTACTTCTAGCTTTTTGCTGGTTAATTGGAGAGTCTCACAGACTTTCCTGCCCAGGCTGGCTTTGAACCGAGATCCTCAGTTCTCAGCCTCCTGAGTAGCTAGCATTACAAGCCATAAGCCACTGGTGCCTAGCTGCATTAACTGTAGTTTTTAAGAGAAGACTAAGAAGAAGGATGAAAGAGTTGACATTGATCAAGATGCATTGTATTCATAATCTGACTTGTTGAATCAAAACCCTTCTGGCACAACTCAAGTAAAAAACCAGAAACAATAGATTGAAATGCAACACATTTACAAACGTTCTGACAGGCTCTAATTTGAGAACAGTGCACTGTATCCTACTTTTGTTGCTGTAAAGGCACCAATGGTAACTTCTCTACTATCTGCTCCAGATGCCCGAACTTCCACATTCCAGTCATGCCTTTGCTTCTTTAGGCTCCTCACCTAGCAGCATCTTAGATTAATTCCCTGGAAATAGGAAAATGTCTTGGGAATGAGTGAGCTGGAATGTTCCAGGTCAGAAAGAGAAAGGGAAGGAGAAGGAGCCAGGGATCCATTTGACAGTGGGGTAATCAGAGAGATTCCTGCTATCATTTCCAGAACTACTCCTGTGGATGCCCAGCTACTTCACAGCTGTCCCTACGTGGCTGACCAAGGATCCCAGCTATTGCCTCCATTTGGAAGGAGGACTGAAAGGACGTGACAATTTACAGCACTGCCACCATTGCATTGGAGTTGTTAATGTGCTACCTTGCCAATGTACTTCAGAGTCAAGTTCACAGGCCTCCACTGAGTGGCAGGGTATATGACAAAGTAGGGTGGGGGAGAGGGGGCTGAGGGTGGGGATGGGGCTGGGGGGGGGGGGTGTCTCACTAGTACCAGGCAGTGAGGAAGATGATCCCACCAAGTTCTTTATGCATCCACCCAGCCTTCTGGACTCTCTGGGTTTGCCTTTGTCTAAATGACCCTATTATCTGGGGGTGGGAAGGGGAGTATGTGCAGGGGGTGGGGGAGGGTTGAGGGGAAATAACCCTTAAGAGAACAGTGTCTAGATTGGAGTTGTGGCTCAGTTGGTAGAGCACTAGCCAATGAGTAAAAGTATCAGGTACCAAGTTCAAATCTCAGTCTTCAACTAAAGAAAAGAAATAACCACAGTCATTTCATTTTTATATATTACTCCATTTTATTAAATAAATGAAATGAGGTTTACACTACATATTCCTACAATGCTTAAATAAAGAGCATAAAGTATAAAGGTTTATAAAGAAGGTATATTCTACATAACATAGACTACTTCTAGCACATGGTTAAAGATGAATAGGAGCCACTCTTTAGTAGTACAGATCAGCAATGCTTAGCATCATGAGTTCACAAATCCATAAAGAAACCAAGAAGCAAAACATTTCCTTCAACTTAGTCATAAAAGTTAAAAAAAAAAAAAAAACACGAAACACTACTGGACATTGGTGACTCAGCCCTGTAATCCTAGCTACTCAGATGGCTGAGATCAGAAAATCATAGCTCAAAGCCAGACCAGGAAAAAATGTCCATAAGACTCTTCATCTGCAATTAACCAGCTAAATGCTGGAAGTGAAGCAGTGGCTCAAGTGGTAGAGTACTAGCTTTGAGCAATAAAGCTTAAGAGAACAGTGTCCAGGCCCTGGGTTCAAGTCCCAGTATCAGCACGCACATATACACAAAACAAAATAAAAACAAAAATAACAAAATTTAGAAATCCTTTAGTCATATTTGAGCACTGTCCAGAGGAAGAGAGGGCTGTAACGATACCCAGGAACAAAGAGGATCAAGTTTCCCAAATCCTTAAGTTATTTCCTGGTTAAAAATTTCAACCATTGCATTAATTCCAGGAAACAGAAAAAGCACATTAAGATCCTGTTCTATAAGGCACATAATAAATCTATACCATATTTTTGTCTTAAAATTGCTGAAGTTTTCCAGTAAAGTTTTGAGTTTCTTTTTTGTCCATAATAAACTGGTAATTTGTCTGACATTTGCCCTTTATAACAGTCTTTGAGATGTATTTGTTTCTATTTCAGAAATTACATACTTGAAAAAAATAAAATATTTTCAACATTTTAGAAAAGTAGCTCAGATGAAACAACCTTTTAATTCAAAGAACTCAAAAGTGAAAGATTCTCAGCAGAAAGTCTATTGCTTAATGGAATGTTCTGATAAGAAAAAAAAATCCTTTTTAACATGTAGTTCAATGCCAGAAGCAAGGCCTGAATGAGCGCAGGGCCTCTACTGCCATCTAGTGTCCACACCACCAATAAGCTATCAATGATCCTTCTTTCTCTCTTTTGAATTTTTGTCTTAGTCTTTTCAAGACTCTGTCTTACTTGTGGAAGTAAAATTCTACTTCATAAAGTCCTTTTTCAAATGAAGCATTAGCAAAGAAGACAAAGTGAAAACGACTTGGAGAAAAAATGAATGATTCCCCAAGAAAATCTTCTATTCCTTTCTGTCCCAAGAAGGAAGAAGCCAGGGACTAGACAAACTGGAAATTTGCATAGCACATAATGTAGAAGTAACCTGCCCTAGAGCTGGAGTTAGTGTGTGGTTCTCAAAGGCAAGCCCAGGGCTAGGATGAAGTCAACAGTGCTTGCCTGCAGTGCATAAAGCACTGGGTTCCATCCCAGCACAATAATCAAAGAGCAGACTGGAAGGCATCCAAGAAAATCGAATCCGTTTCCAGCCTTCTACAGGTAGAAAGCTCTTGGGGCTCTAAAAGTCATCTTTCATTTTAAAAATGTGAGGAAAACAAGAAAGAAGGAAAATGACAAGCAAGAAAAATGATTTGCCGTATCATTACAAGAAGGAAAAAAACATGTAACAGAAACTAGATAAAAAGATATCATTTGGGACTAGGGCTATAGCTTCAGTGGTGAAGAGCTTTCCTTATTTGAGGCCCTGATTTCAGTCCACAGCTAGGAAGGGAGGGAGGGAGGGAGGGAGGGAGGGAGGGAGGGAGAAGAAATTGTGTTTTTTAACCCTTTGATACAATTAATATACACTAAAAGGAATGACAGGAAAATAAAAGAGATGTTGGGGATGGGTACCAGCTATAGGGGGAGGGTGACTGAGGATGGATACAGTAGAATATGCCTATATGAAAAACAAAACAGTGAAACCAGTTAAAATTGTTTTTAAGAAGGAGGTGGCTAAAAAGCCATAGAAGGTGTGAGGTTGATGGAGTCCACTGGAAGCATATATAGAAATGTCACAAGGAAACTCTCCTTCTGTACAAATAATATATGCTAATACATTTCTTTTAAAGAAAAGAAAAGGTGGTGTGGCACTGGTGGCTCACAGCCGCAATACTAGCTGATGAGGAGGCTGAGGTCTGTGGATCATGGTTCAAAGTCAGCCCAGGCAGGGAAATCCATGAGACTCTTATCTCCAATTAATCACCAAAAAGCTGGAAATAGAGCTGTAGCTTAAGTAGTAGAGCACCAGCCTTGAACAAAAAGCTCAAGACCATGAGTTGAAGTCCATGCTAGCACAAAAAGAATTTTTTGAAAGAATCACACAGCCAATTCCTAAAATTACCTGAGACAGAAGTCAAACAGCTTCAAACATCTTCCACCAACACACTCCAAACAACATACACTGGTAACTTTCAAAGCCAACACATCACACCACCCTGGATTAAGGTGTTAACATATTTTAACAATTCCTCACAAAGGTAAAGTCTTCAAAGGCTAAAAATCACTTATTATAAGTGAGAGATCCTGACAAAGTCGGAAATTTTAAAGCAGTGCAATACTCTGAGGATCTACTTCTAGCACTGTCTATACCTGGGGTTAAAAAGTCCAGGTCTTCACAGCCTGAAATATCTTCAGTTGACAAGCAGCAAGAGCTTCTTGCAGTTCAGAAACAGCAACATCCTCTCAGAAGCTGTATCACATGGTTTCCAGTGCTTTTTCAGAACAGTCAGAGAAAAGTAGCATCAGGAGCTCCTCTTCCAAAAGAAAAAACATACAGGGCCTGTATTCTTTTTTGCTGTTGTTGTTGCAAGTTTTCTATAACAAGAAATATGTACTTGTGTATATGATTGTGGGTATCAAAGGGCACTTCAATGGTAAGGACTGGTGTCTGGAGGTTACAATTCAGGCCATTAGCACTGGCGAAGAGCATTTGATGCTGACACATAGCAATCGAAAGAACCCAGTCTTCATCTGCGGCTCCCATCCCAGAGCTGTGATGAGCCAAGTGAGAAGCAGAGTGGAATACAGAAAGCTCAACTATTGCAGAAGTTTGCGCTTTGAGAAGGTAGCCTCAGGCAGCCTTGAACTTGTGTCACAAGTCCAGTTTCTTCAGCTGCTCATAAGTCACAAAGAACTGGAGTTATGGGTTAAGGCTGGACCTTATCAAACATAGAAGCCCCATCCTAAAACTCCTCAAGCAAGTGGCCCTGTAGCTCAAGTGGTAGAGCGCTCGCCTTGAGCTGAAGAGCTGAGGGACAGCGCCCAGGCCCAGAGTTCAAGCCCCACGACCGACAAAAAAAAAAAAAAAAGGGCTGGGAAGGTGGCTCAGTGGTAGAGCGCTTGCCTTGCATGCCTGAGGCCCTGGGATCGATTCCTCAGCACCACATAAGCAAAAAGAAAAAAGCCGGAAGTGGTGCTGTGGCTCAAGTGGTAGAGTGCTAGCCTTGAGCTGAAGAGCTGAGGGACAGCACTCAGGCTCAGAGTTCAGGCCCCACGACCGGACCCCCCCCAAAATAAATAAATAAATAAAACTCCTCAAGCTAACAACCCATAAATGTGTCCAAGGTCAGTTTGGAACAGAAAGACCACAGCTGAGATCTGACTGGTTTCTGTGCCACTGCAACAAGTCTTAGAAAGCTTCCTTGGTAAGCCTTGCTTTGGAGGTGCTAGTGGCTCACACCTGCAATCTTAGCTACTCAGGAGGCTGAGATCTGAGGATTGCAGTTCAAAGCCAGCCCAGCAGGAAAGTCCATCAGGACTCTTAGCTCCAACTAACTATCATAAAAGCTTGAAGTACAGCTGTGGCTAGCCTTGAGCAAAAGGATCTCAGGGACAGTGCCCAGGTCCTGAATTCAAGCCTCTGTAACAGAGCACACACACACACACACACGCACGCACGCACGCACGCACGCACGCACGCACGCACGCACGCACACACACACACACCCCAACATTCCTCTTCCTTAATTCTGCCTTTGCTGCCTCTGGCTTTCCAAGGAAGAGTTTAGGCCAGCCAAACATCCCCACAGCCAATTCCTGTGTGGTTATCTTCAGGCAGTCTCTACAGGAAATATTCTTGGGTCTTGTTATTAACCACATCCTTCCCCAGAGCAGCTAGAAATACCAATCCTTGTTGCTCTGAAATTATGAATACTTTTAGCTCTTCAGCAGGATCCAATGAGATATTTATTGCCTTATTACATTTCAATAACTATTTAATTACTATTAGTAGTAGTAGTATCTGGTAGTACTGAGGTTTAACCTCAGAACCTCTCACTTGCTATAGTGGTGTTCTACCACTTGAGCCATATATCCAGCCTTGCTTTTTGCCATTACTTTTTTTTTTTTTTTGTCGGCCGTGGGGCTTGAACTCTGGGCCTGGGCGCTGTCCATCAGCTCCTCAGCTCAATGTGAGCGCTCTACCACTTGAGCTACAGCACCACTTCCGGTTTTCTGGTGGTTTATTGGAGATAGGAGTCTCACGGTCTCTCCTGCCCGGGCTGGCTTTGAACCGCGATCCTCAGATCTCAGCCTCCTGAGTAGCTAGGATTACAGGCGTGAGCCACCAGCGCCCGGCTTTGCCATTACTTTTCAAGATAAGGTCTCATAAACATTCTGCCCAAGCTGGCCTTGAACCAAGCCTTTCTCAACTTCCTGAATAGCTAGGATTACAAATGTGAGCCCTCAATGCCCAGCTGAAAGATAAGTCATTTTAATAATTTATATTGTTAAACTAAGATCAGTGTCTAGTACCCAGACTTTATATTTCCTGAAACAGAAACAGAATAGTTATGTCTTAAAGAACTCAAATAGGAAAGAATTTACTTTTAAGTTAATAATTTGCTAGTTTGTATAAGCAATATTCTTTGCTACATTATGTTTTTCAAATCCACTACAACAGGAAAGGATACAATGATATTCCAGGGACCAAGCCTCAGCCAATTAGGCCAGAACCCTTTATACAGGGCAAAAAATCCTTCGTTCTTCCATGTCTGTTAAAAAGCAAACAAGAGAAAAAGATTGAGTGTCCAATTTCCCAATTATATTGAATGCTTAATAGTTGTCAGACTATTTTCATAAAAATTGAACCATGGCATGAGTTTTGGCTCAGTGATTGAGTGGAAGGACTACTCAGCAATATTTGCCCTCTCTGGGCACCGGTGGCTCTCGCCTATAATCCTAGCTACTTAAGAGGCTGAGATCTGAGGACTGCAGTTCAAAGCCAGCCCAAGCAAGAAAGTCCATAAGACTCTTATCTCCAATTAACCACCTGAAAACCAGAAGTTTGAGCACTGTGGCTCAAGTGGTAGAGCGCCCTCTATAATATTGATGTTTGGTGTCTATGTGTGAAGATGACATTAGGAAACTCACTAAAAGTTACTAAACAGGGCTGGGAATATGGCTCAGTGGTAGAGTGCCTGCCTAGCGTGCATGAGGCCCTGGGTTCAATTCCTCAGCACCACATGAACAGAAAAAGCTGGAAATGGTGCTGTGGATCAAGTGGTAGAGCACTAGCCTTGAGTACAGAGAGGATCAGGGACTGCCCCAGGACTGGCAAAAGAAGGAAGGAAGGAAGGAAGGAAGAAAGAAAGAAAGGAAGGAAGGAAGAAAGAAAGGAAGAAAGAAAGGAAGGAAGGAAGGAAGGAAGAAAGGAAGGAAGGGAGGAAGGAAGGAAGGAAGGAAGGAAGGAAGGAAGGAAGGAAGGAAGAAAGAAAGGAAGAAAGGAAGAAAGAAAGAAAGGAAGGAAGGAAGAAAGAAAGGAAGAAAGAAAGAAAGGAAGGAAGGAAGGAAGGAAGAAAGAAAGGAAGGGAGGAAGGAAGGAAGGAAGGAAGGAAGGAAGAAAGGAAGGAAGGAAGGAAGGAAGGAAGGAAGAAAGGAAGAAAGAAAGAAAAAGAAAGGAAGGAAGGAAGGAAGGAAGGAAGGAAGGAAGGAAGCTACTGAACAACATAGAAAAAAAGCAACTGATGAGGTTAAGCTCATTAAATTATTCTTTTTTTTAATTCTTTTTTTTAAACTTTTTTTTTTTTCAATCATGGGGCTTGAATTCAGGGCCTAGACACTGTCCCTGAGCTTTTTCTCTCAAGGCTAGCATTCTACCACTTGAGCCACAGTGATACTTCCAGTCTTCTGGTGGTTAATTGGAGATAAGAGTCTCACAGACTTTCTTGCCCAGGCTGGCTTTGAACCGTGATCCTCAGATCTCAGCCTCCTGAGTTAGCTAGGATTATAGGCATAAGCTACCAGTGCCCAGTAATCTGATTGACTCATGTGAAAGTAAGATTACCATGGTGAAGTTCCCTTGTAGGAACTACACTTTATAAAAAAACAAAAAAACAAAAAACAAAACCAAGCATCAGTGACTCACATCTATAATCCTAGCTCCTCAGGAGGCTAAGATCTGAGGATCATAGTTCAGAATCAGCCTGGGCAAATCCAAGCTACTCTTATCTCCAATTAACCAGCAAAAAGTTAAAAGTGCAAGTGTGATTCAAGCCAAGAAAGAGTATGAGGCCCAGAGTTTAAGCACCCAGTACCAGCACAAATAAATAAAAAGATAGAATGAACCCCACATGAAGCTGAATGAACAGGAAAGTAGATTTAATCTCAATAGGCTCATTGGCTTCCATGCTACTGGGGTTTCTTAACAGGTCAGAAATAAAGATTCAATGATAGTAAAGATTTCATTCAGAGAAAAGGGAATGTGGCTTAGTGGTAGAGTACTTGCCTGTCCAAGGCTTTAAGTTCAAACCCTAGTATCTGCCCCCTGAAAGATATCATTCAGACATGTCTACTTTCTAAATTATTGGATAGATAAAGGAGACAAGATAGGGGAAGAGAGATAAGGAAGAGTAATGAAGGAGTTGAGTCTGTATTATATGGTCATGTATGGTCATGTCTCATGTCAAAATGAACCTCCCTTCATTCAACTAAGTGATGTGGTAGGAGCAACAGCAACACTATGTTCTTGGCTTTAGTTGGTCACCATTTTTCTTTCATGACATTCAAGTCAACTTGTTTCTCATGTTAAAAAAAAAACACTTTTTTTTTTGCTTCATTAATGCACTACTTGGATATATGGTGTGCTAGCATCATGCCAGAGAACTGGAAGAGGTGGTTCCTAGTTCTTGGCTGCTGGCAATCCAATGGGAAGACAGTGGACAACATTCATCCACCCACAAACAGGAAGCCCAAAGCCCAGGTTTCAGAACTGAGAGTTACAGAAGACTGATGCACTCCTTTGAGAGAAGTGTCTGGATAGGGACTCTTCTAGTCTCACTCCACAGGCAGAAAGTGGGTTTTAGATACAGTTCTGTGTTTACAGAAAACAATACTATTTTATTGCCCTTCAGAGCACAGAGAAGGTATTCAGAAAATAAGCTTTTATTTCTCTCTATTCAACTATATTTTTGTAACTTTTGTCAAAGTTAACCTCAGCTAGTGGTGGTGGCCTGTGCCTATAGTTCAAACAAACAAACAAAGCTAACCTCAATGTAGCCAAAATAAGGTGGCACATGTCTATGTAAGAGCTTTAGAGTATCACTCAGCGGTTGTTTTGTTTGGTTGATTGTACTAGGGCTTGAACTTGTTGTTTTTTTTTTTTTGTCAGCCGTGGGGCTTGAACTCTGGGCCTGGGCACTGTCCCTCAGCTCTTCAGCTCAAGGCGAGTGCTCTACCACTTGAGCTACAGCACCACTTCTGGTTTTCTGGTGGTTTATTGGAGATAGGAGTCTCACGGTCTCTCCTGCCTGGGCTGGCTTTGAACCGCGATCCTCAGATCTCAGCCTCCTGAGTAGCTAGGATTACTGGCGTGAGCCACCAGCGCCCGGCTTTTGAACTTGTTTTGCTCATAGCTGGGGCTCTACTTCTTGAGGCTACAGACCTTCAGTTCTGGCTTTTTTCTCTTAGAGAATACTTGATTCGTTTCTGTAATCCATTTAGTCACTTCTGGTTTTTTGCTAGTTAATTGGAAATAAGACTCTGGATTTGTCTGCCCAGGCTGGCTTAGAACCATGATTCTCAGATGTCAGCCACGTGGGTAGTTAGAATAACAGGTATGAGTCAGAGGCTCTCAGCTTCATCTTAGTTTTAGCTGTAATAACTGAATCACTGAAGTCACAATATACACATGTATACAATTTACAACTCTGCATAGACATGCCCATCCTCACCTGTAACAAGCAATCCAGGGTACCTGTGTAGCCAGAGCAAGTGCCATCTCGAAGAACTCTCTGATTCATCATTCGTGTTCTCACAACATCCACGGGGTTTGAGGCCAGGGCCCCCACGAGACCGCAGGTGAAGCTCGAGCTATGAAGACAGGATTGGAAAAAGGCAAAAAGTCAACCACTGCTCAACTCCAACTACTCCTGTCAAAGGCAGAAGTTAGCCTCCTTGCCAAAACATGTGAAATTAATATGGAATACAAACTTCTTAAATGTAACACTGACCATTTGGCTTATAAACTCCAGTTACAGCTAAGAACACCTTTGAAATAGAAAGTAAAAAAAAAAAAAAAAAGGCAGTGAAACACGAAGGAGCAGTCTCCAAAGGTGATCTATTCCATTTCGTTACTTGAGTAGGAGTTGGTAGTGGGTCAGAGTAATGCTACCCATATCAAGTTAATATTGTTCCTACAGATCAAACACAAAGATCTCTCCACGATTCTGGTCTCCACACGTGGCAGGTTCTACTAAACTCTCTGTTTTACAACAGAACTCACTAGGTGTTGATTATTTTGTCTGATCGCTGATGTAAATTTTCAAATATGTAAATACTTTTATAATAAACTCCCATAATATTTTTATAAAGTTATACTCTCTTTCCACCCTAACCTCATGCCAACCTGTGGGTAGGGAGGGTAGGAGAAAAATGGGGGAAAGCAAGGAAAAGGTGACATTATCCACCGTACTCATTTCTGGCTTACAGAAATATAATGCCTTTGTACAACTATTTAATAACAACAATTTATTTTATTTTATTTTTTATTTTTTATTTTTTTGGTCCAGTTGTGGGGCCTGAACTCTGGGCCTGGGCGCTGTCCCTCAGCTCTTCAGCTCAAGGCTAGCACTCTACCACTTGAGCCACAGCGCCACTTCTGGCTTTTTTGTTTTTGCTTATGTGGTGCTGAGGAATCGAACCCAGGGCCTCATGCATGCAAGGCAAGCGCTCTACCACTGAGCCACCTTCCCAGCCCACAACAATTTTTTTTAAAACCATATAAACATACAGGAAGTGAGTATAGACTGTGTCTCCCATGAGACCCGAGAGCATCAGATGCTTCTTGGTGAAGTCATAGACTGGAAGTTCCACACCAACAACGATAGCAGCCCTCTGCGCCGTGAGGGACACACCCTAGTAAAAACATGGATGAGAGGATTCAGACACTGCTCTACAGAGCACAAGTGTTCAAAGGTTCCACTCCACAAATTACAACCAATATTTTTGTTTGTTTGTCATCATGGGGCTTGAATTCTGGGCCTGGGTTCCTGAGCTCGTCAGCTCTAGGCGAGTGCTCTACCACTTGAGCCACAGCACCACTTCCAGTTTTCTGATGGTTAATTGGAGCTAAGAGTCTCACAGACTTTTCTGTCCGGGCTGGCTTTGAAACATGATCCTCAGATTGCAGCCTCTTGAGTAGTTACAATTACAGGAGTGAACCATCAGTGCCCACCTACAACCAAGTTTTACATGTTCCTGTTAGTAGGTAGAAATGTAGAGTGACACAGTAAAAAAAATAAAAGGGAACACTCAAAAAGCTCAAAAGCTCTAAGTTCTAATGCTGACTTCACGGGCTGGGAAGGTGGCTCAGTGAGAGTGCTTGCCTAGCATGCATGAGGCCCTAGGTTCAATTCCTCAGCACTACATAAACAGAAAAAGCCAGGAGTGGTGTTGTGGCTCAAGTGGTAAAATGCTAGCCTTGAGCTGAAAAGCTGAGGGACAGCGCCCAGGCCCAGAGTTCAAGCCCATGACTGACAAAAACAAACAAACAAAAAACTAACTTCATTTATAGTGCCAAAACCATATTGACCAATCAATGAAACTGGAACCCAAAAACATTTAAAGATTTAAACAACAGCCAGACACCAGTAGCTAAAATTAATAGAAATATGACTAATTTTAAGCCAGGCACCAATGGCTCATGCCTGTAATCCTAGATACTCAGAAACTACGATCTAAGGATCATGGTTCAAAGCCAGCCCAGGCAGGAAATGAGATTCTTATCTCCAAGTAACCACCAGAAAACAAGAAATGATGCTAAGAAAGTGGTGGAGTGCTACCTCAAGCAAAGGACTCAGGGATGGCACCCAGGCTCCAAGTTCAAGTCCCATGGACGACAAAAAAAAAAAGAAAAGAAAAGAAATATGAAAAGTTTTAAACAAGAAGAAAGTTAAAAGAAGTGAATGAGTTGGATCTGTTTTGTAGCTTACCTTCCACAGACCTCTTGTTCCCTCTTGCTGATAAATGTGAATGAAGTTACCTATCATCCCTCCTTGGAGATTGTTGCTTTGTGCTTGCATTCGGATCTAGAGATTATTTAAAGACCAACATTGAGAAGGAAACCAGTACATTCACCACCAACAACAACCACTTCTGAAAATCATTCTAGCTACTGCTGTGGCTCAAGTGGTAGAGCACTAGCCTTGAGCTGAAGAGCTGAGGGACAGCACTCAGGCCCAGAGTTCAAGCCCCAGGATCGACCAAAAAAAAAAAAATAGTGTATCTGAATAAAATGTCCTCAGGAGATTAAAAAGCCTATAAGGATTAGTTCTTAGGAACCCTAAAATTTCTACAAAGTACCTAGTAGAATCCTATATACGCCTTTATTAAATTAAAAAAAAAAAATCAGGGAGCGTGAGCAAGCACTAGTAGCTCATATCTGTAATCCTAGCTACTCAGGAGGCAAAGACCTAAGAATCGAGGTTCAAAGCCAGCCTGGGAAGAAAAGTTTCTGAGACTCTTATCTCCAATGTAACTACCAAAAGTCCAGAAGTGGAACTATGGCTCAAGTGTCAAGAGCTAGCCTTGAGCATAAAAAGCTTAGGGTCAGTGCCTGGGCACTGAGTTCAAGCCTCAAAACTAACAAAAGGAAAAGGGAAAAATAAAGACTTTTGGGTAAGACAGAAAATAATATAATTTGACTTTAGGTTACCAAACAGGAATCAAAAGTGATGACAATTCTGAAGGCTTGATGTGATTAATTAGTTATGCATCAAGCATGAGCAAACATGGTTCTGAACCTGCTCCTAGCCATAAGTATTTCCAACCCATTGGACCAAAAGGTATGCAAGTGAGCTGGCCAAAGGATGGCCACATGATGCTGTTACACTCTGATGCACTTGAACTTACTAATGACCCTCACAACAGCCACAAGGGCCATGTGGCCAATATTCTACCAGATACATGGTTGATGTAGCTCTTTACCTTTTTTTTCCCCCCCAATACTGGGGTTTTAACTTAGGGCCTCACACTGTCCCCTGGCTTTTTCCACTCAACAGCTGATGCTCTACCAGTTGCCACACCTCTACTTCCAGCTTTTTGATGGTTATTTGGAGATAAGAGTCACACAGATGTGTCTGCCGCTGCTGACTTGGAACTGTGATTCCCAGACCTCAGCCTCCTGTGTAGGTAGGATTATAGTCATGAGCCACAGGTCTCAGTGCCTTGCTTTCCTAAAAATGAAAAGGGTTTCACACTACTTTAAAAAAAAAAGTCTAGGGCTGGGAAGGTGGCTCAGTGGTAGAGCGCTTGCCTAGCATGCATGAGGCCCTGGGTTTGATTCCCCAGCACCACATAAGCAAAAAGAAAAAAGCCAGAAGTGGCTCTGTGGCTCAAGTGGTAGAGCGCTAGCCTTGAGCTGAAGAGCTGAGGGACAGCACGCGGACCAAAAATATAAATAAATAAATAAAATAAAATAAATAAAATAAGATAAAAAAAAATATCTAGCACCACAAGGAAACTGTTTGGTGCCACTCTAATAGCAGAAAAGAAACTAAAATACAGGAATTGCTTTCTTATAAGCCCTGAGATATATTTAAGAAATTAATAGAAGTACAGGTTTTTTTCCCCTTTATTTCTTTTACCCCAGTGTAAAATAAATCTGTGGCCTCATACATGGAGAACAACTCAACATGTTCATCTACTTTTGAGGCTAGATGATGAGACCGGAGGACCTCTGAGGACAAGGCCCTCCTCCCACTCATGTGGGAGGCCCAGCATGCAGAGCAAAGCAGAAGCATAGCTTACTAGTTAAATCGTGGAGGGGGGAGGGGTACTCTAAAAGGGTTCAGGAAATAGCTCATGTAGACTTCATGTAGTTAGTCCCTAGTCTTATTCCAAAAAGGATTAAAAGAGGTTGTATTGCTAGTATTCTCAATATGTTCATCATACCCCAGCCCTTTTGTTAATATTTTGTTACTGCGACAGAGACTTACTAACTTTGCCTGGGTTGGACTCCAACTCACAATCTTCCTGCCTCTGACTCCCCTGTAGCTGGGATTACAGGTCTGTATCCCCACCCCTGGTAACCCATGTTCTGTTGTGGCAGGGGCCAATACTGGGGTTTGAACTCAGGGTTTCATGCTTGCCAGGCAGGTGTTCTACCACTTGAGCCACACCTACAGCTCTTTTCACTTTACATATTGTTCAGATAGGGTCTTGGCATTTTTACACTGGACTATGATCATCCAACCAAGCCTCCTGCACATCTGGGATCACAGATGTGTACCACCATGTCTGGCATGTTTGTTGAGATGCAGTCTTGTAATTTTTGCCTTGGTTTGCGTAGAACCACAGTCCTCCCAACTCCATTTCCCAGGTAGCTGAGACTCCAGGCATACCTGTCATGGTGTTGCTATCCCATCTGGCTTTATGAAGCAATAAGCAAGGGAACAAGGAACTCTAATACATCCACACCCTAAATTTTTCTTTTTTGTACAATCACTAAAAATCTTGTCTCCAAAATGAATTCTACTTTAGACCTATCTGTATCAATGGGAAATCCACTTAGTGAGTATTTAAGACTTAGACTGTATGACATAAATTATGAACAGATTCACCTACATTATATTTCATTATCTGAATGCTGCTCCCAATTAGAAAATGTTGAATGTGGGACTAGCATGGTCCCACAAGTCTATAATCCTAGTACTTGAGAGATAGAGCAAAAAGACTGCAAGTTCAAGGCCAGCCTGGGTGAATGAGGCCCTGTCTTGAAGAAAATAAAGAGAAAAGTAAAAAGAAAAAAAAGTAAAGGAAAAGAAAGAGAAAGGGAAAAGGAAAGAAAATGTGAGCTATGTCCCTAAGATATAGCTAGCACAGCTTACTTTTAGTACATCGGTTGGATTGGCAATGGCTGAAGATATGACTCCAGAAAGAATTCCACATATGACGTTGATCAGTAGAGTTTCATCTGTAAACAAAGACAAAGTATTTGGTTTTTTCATACACATGGAGTTCTTTCCGTGTGCCTCATTAACACCTCATTCACCTTAGAATGAAGACAGGTGTGCTCTTGAATCAAGCAATTTAAAAAGGAGTACGGCTGACTAAAGGGATTTTGCTTGGTCAAATTTCTTAATATCTAAAAATCAATTGGAATCATCATGCAGAGTGAGGGACTATGGGAGCTGGGAAGTTGGCTCAGTGGTAGAGTGCTTGCCTCACATGCATGAGGTCCTGTGTTTGATTCTTCAGCACCACATAAACAGAAAAAGCAGGAAGTGGCGCTGTAGCTTAAGTGGTAGAGCACTAGCCTTGAGCTAAAGAGCTACGGGACAGCGCCCATGCCCAGAGTTTAAGCCCCACGACCAACCAAAAAAAGTGAGGGACTATGTACCGATTTAATTTTATGTGGCTTCAGAGCTTCATTAGTGAAATGAGGCAGAATTCTTAGGAGAGTAAGAGAAATTCCCAGGAGATAACATGAGGATTTATTAGGCACAGGAAGTTTCTAAAGCATATGATATGTATTTAGTTTGACATCATCGAAGTACTTTCAAGGCTCTTGTTCATCTCTCTGTGTAACAGGGACTGGTAATCCCACTCATTTGAAGGAGACAGGGAGAGACAGAGAAAAGCAGTTTTATGAATTAAAACAAAGCCCCAGAACCAACCAGCCACAGTCTATTAGAACTCAGAGCTCTTGGAACTGGAAGCATAGCTCAAGTAGCAAAGCGCCACCCATGAGAGGGAAAAAGTGAGTGACAGCAAGAGGCCCTAAGTTCAAGCCCCAGTACAGGCACCAGTGAAAGAATACAGAGCTCTTAACACTAAGAAAGTATTTAATGCTTTCCTAAAAAACAGGTGACAATACACAGGATTAAAAAAATTATGTTAGATTACATGGTAATAACATATCCCCTAGTCTAGGCACATAAAGACAAATAATTAAAATGTTTGTAGAGATGGTTCCTTGAGTACTATTGGCTGATACCTGATTTTCTATAAGCCCAATTTGTTGAAACTTTACACCCAGACATTCTCCTTTGCCATGATAAAATGTTAAGATGAAGAAATCCCCTTCAAAAATACTGAAATGAAAAGATCAACAAGCCAGGCCCCGGTGGCTCAGGCCTGTAATCCTAGCTACCCACCAGGCTGAAATCTGAGGACTGTGCTTCAAAGCCAGCCAAGCAGGAAAGCTCACGAGATTCTGTATCTCCAATTAACAACAACCACAAAAAAGATGGGAGTAGAGTTGTAGTTCAAGTAGTAGAACGCTTGACTTGAGCACAAAAGCTCAGAGATAGCATTCAAACCCTGAGGTTCAAGCTCCAGGATTGGTGCAAACAACAACAACAACCACAAAAATCAACAGTCCACCAGCTGTCCCCAGATAGAAGACAGATTCCCACTTACCTTCTGGGCGTTCCACGAACAATCTCTTCAAGCTCTGATAAGTGCCAATCTTGATGGTGCCATAGGAGGCCTGGCGGAGCATGGCAGGGGCAATCCTGTCAAGCCACCACACAGGGGGACAAAGAACATCCAAAAGTCACTCAAATCCTCAAGGAGAGCAACAGGATCCAACAACACTAGTTTCGCAGGGGCTTTTTTTTGTGGTGATACAAGTTCTGAACTTAGGGCCTCATACTTGATAGACACGTGATCTATCACTTGAGCCTTTCCCCATGTCCTTTTTGCTTTAGCAATTTCTTGGATAGGGTCTCACTTTTTTTTTCTATTTTATTGTTATTATAAAGGTGATATACTGAGGGTGATGTACAGTTACAAAAATCAGGAAAAAGAGCCATTTCTTTTTGGACAATATCATCCCTTCTCCTGTTCTCTCCCAGTTTTTCCTACCTGTCCAAGGGCTCACATTTTTTTTTTTTTTGCCCAGGCAAGCCTGAATCTCGATCCTCCCTACCTCTGCTTCTGAGAAGCTGAGGTGACCGGTGTGAGCCACCACACCCAACTCAAGAACCCTTAAATGGATTCTCAGGAACATCCCTTCTCAGCACAAAACACTTGGGAAAACAGGCCTCAGCCAGGTATAGCTCAAGTACCACAAATAATCCTACGCTGTTGCTCTGGAGCTCATCTCAAATACCTTAGGCACCACTGTCTAGTATTTCCTTTTCCTAAAAGTTTTTATATCACAGCACTGAAATAAGTTCAAGACAGGGTCAGGAAGCAGGACGCTATTTGGCTCACGCCTGTAATCCTAGCCACTCAGGACTCTGAGATCTGAGGATGGTTTAAAGCTAGCCTCAGCAGGAAAGTCTATGAAACTCCCATCTCCAATTAACTAAAGAAAGCCAGACATGGAGCTATTTCTCAAGTGGTAGAGAGCTAGCCTTAGATAAAAAAAAGCCACAAGAGAATTCAAGCCTAGTACCAGAAAAAAAAAAATCAGGAAAAAAAACAAGCCAAGAGAGCAGTGTCCACTCAAGGCTGAATGAAGAAAAGCAATTCAGTGCTACACTATGTCATTTTCATTATGACAAAACCTCAATCACTCAGAATAACTAAAAGCAAGGGCTCTTCTTTCCAATAGTAAAAAACTGATTAGCAGGCTGTTTAAAACAAATGCCATTTTTGCACGGTTGTCTGCACATGAATATAATGAACAGATTGTTTTACCCAAACAATCGCTCTATAACATATACAAAAAATAGAGATGAAATTTAAATGTTAGACTCTACCATGCTTAGTTATTGCTTTCCAATATGTCTCAAATCCCTGCTGTTTCTTTAAGAAGTCTAACTCTGTCATCTCCACTGGACAGGGTCAACAAACAGAATCGTATACTCTTCACTTACCCTGAGTACAAGGCCTTCAACCCTTCTTCCCGGCCAATCCGCACCAATGCATGCAGCATCCCTCGGTACCTAATTTCTCGAAAGTTGGCATCATTGGTCTGGCCTTGAATCTGAAGTCGTGTCTTGGTTAAATCAATTGGAAATGTGCCTTTAAATGTTAAAGAAATTTCACTAAGTATCCATAAGGATGCATTACTAAGGAGCTATTCACTATAAAATGGAGGCAGAAACAGTAAGAAATGGCACACACTGTGCAGTCTGTTTTCTGTTTTAAAAAAAAGATTAATAGTGGAGTGCTGGTGGCTTACCTCTGTAATCCTAGCTACTCAGGAGGCTGAGATCTAAGGATTGCGGTTCAAAGCCAGCTCAGGCAGGAAAATCCTTAAGACTTATCCCCAATTAGGCAGCAAAAAGCTGGAAGTAGAGCTATAGCTAATGTACCACAGTTTTGTCACTCAAAAAGCTTCAGCAAAAAGGAAACTAAGGGACAGTGCTCAGGCCCTTAGTTCAAGCCCCAGGACTAAAACTAAACAAAAAGCATAAATGTATCTTTTTATCTTTCTTCCCTCCTTCTCTCCTTGCTTGCAGGACTGGGGGTCAAACACAGGACCTTATATATGCTGTGCACACACACACACACACGCACATACATACTGGGTCTTAAACTCAGGGCCTGGGCACTGTTCCTTATCTTTTTCACTGAAGACTGGCACTCTACCATTTGCGCCACAGCTCTACTTGTGTTTTTTGCTGGTTAATTGGCAATCAGAGATCTGCTGGTTAATTGGCAAGAGGTAGATCTGCCCAGGCTGGATTCAGACCTCGATCCTCAGATCTCAGCCTTTCCGAGTAGCTAGGATTACAGGCATGAGCTATTGTACCTGGCCCAATCAGGATGTGTTGAATGAATGATTTAGAGCATAAACACAGGGACAACTAGGGTCAGATATGAAACTCCACAGATGAAGACGTCAGCAGCAGAATACAAACAATCACAAGGTTAGAAAGTGACTGAACAAGTACAGTTCATCTAATCTGGCTCTGGGCAACCCTGAGCTTCCCAAACTTTTTGACAGTCAAATGGATTAATATTGGCACAGTGGGGGAGGGATAAGGAAAACAGGGTCAGACGTAATCCAAACAGCATTCATAGAACAGACCAACAGGCTCAACTTTTCTCTCACTGAACTTTCAACCCTAAGCTGCTAATAAGTAGCCAAAATGACTATCAGGTCTTTAAAACATACCACAGAAAGTGTTTCTGAATTTTGAGGTTAATGTTTGCACAAGCTCATATTGTGCATTTGTTCATGCCCGTAATCCTAGCACTTGAGAGCCTGAAGTAAAACAATCCTGAGTTCCCAATCAGCCTGGACTACTTAGAAACCCTGTCATGACAAAATGAAACAAAGCACCAAACTATCAACCTTAGGTTTCAAACGCTGTCACACAGGCAACTTTAGGGTCCCGGGCTCCTTACCGCATTCGGCCGTGATGGAGGCCAGCCCTCCATAAACAAAGGGCTTCCAGTTGAGGGCTGACATTTTCGCTGTCCCTTCACCTTTCAATTATGCAAACATCACCTCCAAAAGAGTGTTCCTAGACACAAAAAGAAGATGATTCAAAGTTGTAACTTCTCATATAGGTGCCTTCTCTAGTCTTTACCTGGGTATTAGTTAGGGAGTGCTAACAGGGGCTATCACTGGAGACTCCCACATCAGTCCCCAAGGTGAGTCTCACCTTAATATAAGCCAAGTACCCCCATCCCCTAAGCCCCAGAACAGCAATTTCTTTCCCCTCCCTTCCTTTCCTTCCTTCCTTCCTTCCTTCCTTCCTTCTTTCCTTCCTTCCTTCCTCCCTCCCTCCCTCTCTCCCTTCCTTCCTTCTTTCCTTCCTTCCTTCCTACCTCCCTTTCTTGTGCCAGTACTAGGGCTTGAATTCAAGACCTGGGTACTGTTCTTTAGCTATTTTGCTCAAGGCTGATGCTCTACCTCTTGAGCCATAGCTCTACTCTGGCTTTTTGTTGGATATTTAGAGGTAAGAGTCTCATAAGATTTTCTTCCCGGGCTGTCTTCAAACCTGATCCCTAGCTCTCAGCCTCCTGAGTAGCTAGGATTATAGGTGTAAGTCACCAGCATCTGACCTAGATCAGTAATTTTTTTTTTTTTTTTGGGGTCCGGTCGTGGGGCTTGAACTCTGGGCCTGGGTGCTGTCCCTCAGCTCTTCAGCTCAAGGCTAGCACTCTACCACTCAAGCCACAGCACCACTTCCGGCTTTTTTCTTTTTGCTTATGTGGTGCTGAGGAATCGAACCCAGGGCCTCCGGCTTGCAAGGCAAGCACTCTACCACTGAGCCACCTTCCCAGCCCCTAGATCAGTAAATTTTAATCTTACTTCATCAGTGGCCTTAATTTTCATTCAGGAATCAAAATATAATCTGCCAGGTTGATGCTGATTCTCAAATATGCATTCAAGGCTGTTTCTGGATAGTTTATTTTATCTGAGATCTATAATTTTTCATGTAATCAATACTTGCTATTCATTTACCACTGTCTCAGTGAGTCCCTAAAGGAAGGCATCACATCCTCTGGGGTGCACCGAAGCAGGAGAAGGACCTGCGTCATATGATAAAGGACAATTACTTAAAATGGCCACAATCTACTTGTAGTGTACACTCTGTAAATGTCAGCTCACTCTGAACCATATTACGTTACAAGCTGGGAGGCAGCTTGGCATGTCAAGAGACAGAGTCCAGTCAGAGCCACACACTCCTTCCTATAAAAGTTCCTGCTAGCCTCTAAGGCCAGGGGTTTCCTTCCTGGACACAATCAGCATCACCAACTCCAGTTAACAATGCAACCAGTTAACAGCAGGGCACTTAGATAAGTGGAATACCTAGCTTGAATGCCTCTGGTGGGAGTTAGATAGCATATATGCTAAATACACTAAATAAATGCTGCCTTCTAACTTGCTGTCCTTCCTTGTTCACTGTACTACACATTCACCCTTGTGCCCCAGCTCCTGTACAATCATGAGAGGGTCTGCAAGCTGTTGAACTGGGCACTGTCCCTGAGCTTTTTCACTCAAGTCTTGAATCATTTGAGTTACAACTCCACTTCCAGCTTTCTGATGGTTAATCGGAAGTAAACGTCTCACAGACTTTTCTGCCCAGGATGACTGAATCATGATCCTCAGATCTCAGCTTCCTGAATAGCTAGGACTACAGGCATGAGCCCTCTAAGCCTGGCTTACGTCCCCAGTGTTTTTTATTTTGCATGTGTTTAGTAATTTCCCAAGTCTACCTGTCTAGAACCTACCAGCTAGTCAGCTGGTACCTACCTAGTCAGCTCCAACAAGCTCAAGACTGTTTCAAACTAAGAGGAAACACGAGAGTCCAAAATTGGACCCTTTGGAAATCAAATACATTATTCCTCATTTGTGGTGATTAACCAAATTCAGAGTAGTTACAAACATGTCGGGGAGAAGGCTTCCCAGACATAAAAACTGAAGGTCATTGCATGCTTTACGTATTTCAGCACCTGTCTCAAAACTCCTCTGATCTCCCTAATGTCGCTGGAAACCTTGAATGCCTGTACTTTAACTCAGTGTTGGCCTTTACTGAATTCACAGGTAAGATAACAATGAACATGATCATGTTAATAAGATAATGATAATGTCTCTAAGAATAGATATTAATAAGTTCTAATCATTTACTATCCAGTAGTAACTTCCTCAACTCATTTTTGTTTTGCTGACTTCTGAACTGAAGAGCCAAACACAGATTACATAACAGTAGCTCATGGAAGTTCTGTAGCCAACCTTGTCCCATAGAACTGCTTTTAGAGCCCTCGCCTCCACTCCTGCCACCCCCACCCCGAAAAACCAAGCACAGCCTAGGTAGCCAAGTTGTACTCTTCCCACAAACAGATCATAAATCCAGGCGCATCAGGTGCCTAGCCTCGGGCGACACAGCTGGTGCGAGCAGGGTGAGACTGACTACCTCAAGTTCAGACTCTAAGCACTGTGTTCTTTATACTTGCAGCCTCAGGCTACACACTGTCACAAACCAGTGAAAACATAGGAAACATAAAGAACCCACACGGAGGTTGTGGTGATTAAAAATATTCCATTCATTTCAATTAAGGAGAAATGAAAAGGTTATAGTTGACAGGATGTATTTCATAAATAACAACAACAAAAAAGCCTAATTTAAGGGAAAAACCTTAAAATATTCAGAAGGACAATCATTTATTTTTTTCCCAACAAATGATATACTGTACAGCAATGAACACAAATTTAGTGTTCATGACTTTTTCTCAAGCTTTTCTTTTCTTTTTTTTTTTAATGTGTGCAGGAACTGGGCTTGAACAAGTATGCTCAGCATTATTGCTAAAGTCTGGTGCTCTACCACTTGACCCACACCTCCATTTTCAGCTTTTTTTTTTTTTTGCTGGGTAACTGGAGATAACAGTCTCTCAGATTTGTCTGCCAAGACTAGCCCCAAACTTTGATCTTCAGGTCTTAGATTCTTGAATAGCTAAGATTACAGGCATGAGCCACTGGCCCCTGGTTTCCCATACCTTTTCTCTTTTTCAGATGAAATTCCATAACATGAAACAAAGCACACAGAAGTGACCTAAGAGACACTCAGCATAGTCACAAAGTATGCAACCACCATTTTGCCTAGTGCCCAAACCATTCATTAGTCCCAAAGGAAACTATGAAGCAGCTGTTCCCAGCATGCCTGCTCCCTTCCATGTTATTCTTATTCCAGGGGGTCCTGGCATTACTGAAGTAAATTAAATGATGGTCCATTTATACCAGGGAATACTGTGATCACTTAAAATTCCTGTTTTAAGTAATTTTAACCTATGATTAATGGTGAATGAACTGGTGGTCCTTCTGCCTCAGTTTCCTGCATGCTGGAATTCAGGCATGTACAAATATGCCTGGTTATTCATCTTATTTAGAAGTCCCGGGGCTGGGAAGGTGGCTCAGTGGTAGAGCGCTTGCCTTGCATGCCTGAGGCCCTGGGTTCGATTCCTCAGCACCACATAAGCAAAAAGAAAAATGCCGGAATTGGCGCTATGGCTCAAGTGGTAGACTGCTAGCCTTGAGCTGAAGAGCTGAGGGACAGCACCCAGGCCCAGAGTTCAGGCCCCACGACCGGACCCAAAAAAAAAAAAAAAAAAGTGCCTATTTTTCACAATTACCATGTGGGAACACACACTGCACACGCAGCATGTAAAATGTCAGCAAAAGTTTGTGGAATGATAACCGATCCATTTAAAAGTTAACTCTTTAGCACTGTTCACAATAGCTAGGATATGGAAACAACCCAGATGCCTCACCACAGATGAATGGACCCAAAAACTGTGGTATCTATACACAATAGAATATTATGCAGCCATTAGAAATGACAAAATAATGGCATTTGCAGGGAAATGGATGGAGCTAGAAGAAATCATGTTGAGTGAGGTAAGCCAAGAGCAAAGAGACAAATGGTACATGGTCTCCCTGATAAGTGGATGTTAAATCCAAAATGTTAGGTGATACGACAAAATTAACAGGACTTAAGAAACAAAGAACTTTCACTCATCTGGTCAAACCACTACCAAATATCCCCATGCTGCTGATCACATGTATGGTGTATATGTGTACACCGTTATATGTTATAGACCATGATAGACAATTTGCTCCAGGAAAGTTAGAATGAACTTGTGACTTTAAATGAGCATCATTATTCCATAATACTGTGAAATTTGGGAAATTATGTAATCACTTAATCACAACTAAAAAAAAAAAAAAAAGCACCAGAAAACTAGAAGTGACGCGATGGCTCAAGTGGTAGAGCATGAGCCTTGAGCTGAATTGTTCAGGGACAGCTCCCAGGCCTAGAGCTCAAGCCCCACGGCTGACCAAAAAAAAAAAAAAAGAGAGAGAGAGAGAGAGAGATCTTTCATGCGATTGTTTCTAACATATTTATAAGATTATGTCTTTGTTACCTTGTATGTCCCTCCCCCATGGTACAACCTCTGCTTTCACTATATATGATGTTGGTATATGTGGAGGGGAAGGGAAAAAACAAATTGTAAAAACAGAGATACAGGAGGACCCATTGCAACAATGAGATGTACAAGTACGAACTTTACGGGCTGGGAAGGTGGCTCAGTGGTAGAGCGCTTGCCTTGCATGCATCAGGCCCTGGGTTCGATTCCTTAGCACCACATAAGCAAAAAGAAAAAAGCTGGATGTGGCACTGTGGCTCAAGTGGTAGAGTGCTAGCCTTGAGCTGAAGAGCTTAGGGACAGCGCCCAGGCCCAGAGTTCAGGCCTCACCACCAGACCCCCCCCCCAAAAAAAAAAAGAAAAGAAAAACAAACTTTACAACTTTTGTGGGGGAGGTCTAGGGGGGTGAGGGGGAAGATATGAAGGCACGAGAGGGTAAACAAAGCAGGAGGCTACAATGCTTGATAAGAAATGTGCTCATTATCTTACCCATGTAATTGTAACCCCTTTGTACAGTATTTTCACAATAAAAATATATTAAAAAATTTTTAAAAAGTTAACTGTTTAGCACTATATCCTCATGGCATTAACT